AAAGTATGAATCTGATTTAAAAGTTGTTTAAAGTGGACCTATCATGCTATATTTAAATGATATATTGTAGGGCCATACCTATATAAGGTATATTTATACGTTTCTGTTTTCAAAATACCAAACAGATCATGCATTTTAGCCATGCCTCATTTCGCTCTATTTGCTGTTCTCCAGCCCTGTTTTTGCAGGGGGCTGATTCTGTGAGCTGCAGCTGACCACACCCCCCTGCAGGAGAGGATAGCGTGCTCTGATCAAGTCAGAAGAGGGGGAGAAAAATAGATCTCCGTCCTCCGTGTTTTATTATATAGAGTTGTTATTAATTTGTTTTAAAGCTCAATAAATAACAAAGAAGACCTTTGACCGGCACTTTTCTAATTTTGTCCGGAAGATTTAAACTTTAAAGGACATCTTGACCGGCGAAAGAAAACCTAACTGAAACTCTGCCGCACGGTCCCCTCGTTCCTTGGAAGAGGCGGAGAGGTGGGTGTTTGTCATCTGCTGGTGGACTAACCGGAGGGAATTACAGTGCTTGCCTCGACGGGGAGGGATTGCATTGAATTAAAGCAGCAGGAGCAAACGCTTGCCTCGGGGAGGGAGAAAAAAAGCCACAGCGGAGAATAAACAGAAGGGTAAACATGGTAACCATGCGCGGGAAGTCTTCTTCGCTGCTTTTGTGGCAGACTACAGCGCCACTTACAGGCCTGGCATATGTACTACAGCGTCTCCAGCGCCTTCGAGCGGCAATGGCCGGCCGTGGCCCAACCCCACATTCCCCTGATAGGTGGAGAGTTGGCCCAATAGCCGTAGCGCCACCGTCCTGACGTCAGGACAGTGTTCAAATCTGGATCAGTTTTTATCAGATCCGTTGCAGCCCCTTTTTTTGAGATTTGGGTATGGAGGAAAATAGAGAGGGTTGTGTTTTCTGACACTTGGTGAGTTCCCTGGAACACCGGGGACACATATTCATGTATAAAAGACGTACAAAAGTGCATTTTGCATGATAGGTCCCCTTTAATATGAATAATGTCAGAAAGATGTGTAACATTTTAAAGTTGGAATGAGGTTTCTGAGTGAAAGTATGAAGGAACAGTTAGCAGTTGAAGTCGCATGAAGATTTTTCAAGTCTGAAGAGTTTCTCCATTGACTTCCATGTTAAAAATGTGATGAATTATGGGATATATCTAGGGAATTATGAAAGTTATGAATGAGGAAAGTAGAAGCAATCGATTCCCGATCGAGCTGAACGTTTTGATGTTTGAACCATAGACTGTATATATAAAGGGTTTGAACAGAGTTTCTGCGATGTGGAATGTGGGAGAAGAAGACGGACAAAATAACCCGGCGGAATAATAATAAAGAATGTCGTGCGTAGAAGAACAAATAGTTGGAATGCTGTATCAGCATTCCCACTAACTGAAGAACTGTTACTTGTTACAAATGTATTCCTACACTCTGGTATGGATTTGTGTGATGTTTTTCCTATGATCATATTCAAATATTCCTAATTTATTAAGGTTCCGTCAAAAAAAGTTTCCTCTAACAATTCTGTGTAGTGTGTTTATGTTCAACATATGTCTGTGGGTATTGTCCACACTCACAGTATTCAATGTTACATGTCTATCGTAATGTAAAGCCATTTGAGCACCTGGAAAAGCACTAAAATAGATGTAATTTATTATTATTATGATTATTAGTATATTAACTATGCGATAGCCCTGATACATTAGTACATTTAAGGAGTTTCATGTTGAACCTAACTTTCCAGAATCAGTTCATAGGGCATACATACCTCCAACATTACCGAGAACAGTGACTGGTGTTTTCTTCTTCTCTGGTACCAGGCCATACTCCGTCTGAAGCTCCTCTTGTTGGATCCGAGCCTGTTGTAAGATTTTCCGGGACAGACGCTCGTCGACGTACGTGTCTTCATTTTCTGCCCGGCTGTCTCTGCTCTTCACTCGGCCTCGGGCTCGCATGGTGTCCCCCTGCAGGATCTGGTCAGCCAGCGGCATGGATCCTCCGCTCTTCTCACCTCCTCCTGTGCCCGCAGATCGTTTCACTTTTGGCATCGCTGTTTCTAACCGAAGATGTAGCTATATTATGTTATTTTGGTTAAGAATGAACAAGTACTGTGCTGTAAACAGCCACTCGTTCAACACGTGCGGATGTCCATTACAGAAAGGATGTGACGTATTTTACGTCACGTACTTCTTTAACCCAGCAAGAATTTAATGTTAGTTGTTTTTTTCTCCCTGAAACTTTATAAAACAAATTGTTTAAAAGTTAGTTATATTTTTTGAGTTGTTGAATCGTTATTAGGTACGTTTTTAAATGGGTATCTTTAAAAATGTATATAATATTTCACTGATATATTGATAAAAGTCATACGTTTAATCGACAAATAACTATTTTTAATTTAAAGTAACATATACATTTTTGCAATACAATATCTTTATTTTTTGCTGTTTCAAATATTATATGCTGATTTACCTTTGCCGGAAGACTGACTTTTCACCCGGAAGTTATTCACTGAATGCCAAGAAAGAGGAGGCAAAACATCAATGGGAGTCACTTGGTGAGATGATAACTTTATGGTTACAGTAATATTCAAAATCTTAACAATGATTTAAACATTATTTGCGTAATGTCCAATTATCTTTGTCTTCCTTATGTCGGCCTTAACCATCGCGCATATGTTTGCACTTTGCAGCGCTGCTTCGGTCACTTCCATTCAAACGATGCTCTGCGAAACTATTTCTGACAACATTACATGCACATAAGAGATGTTAGGGAGGAGGGACTTTGTTTCTCAGGCCCTTTCAGTTAACGCTCTTGTTTTCTCCCGTAATGTGGTGTTTGTTCGTCCTGCAGTGTGTGCCAGGTGCCCGTGGCAGAGGGGAAGAGCGTGCAGCAGTCAGTGGACATCGTGCACAAGAAGCTTGAGCAGCTGGGTGCTGTGAAGCAGGGCAGCTTCTGGGTGGACTGTGAGACGTACCATCCAACAGGAAATGTCAGCGGTAATATTTGAAGCTATACGTTTTATTCATAGGTTTTCCATCTAACAATACATAATTTTGAATATGTCAAGGCGTGTGATGACGAGTGTAACCCCCTTTAAGGTGACTATAACCATGGTTGTTAATTAGATTACAAACCTGGAATTACATTGGTAAACATGTTCATGATATATAATAATTTATTTATCAATCTTTAGTTACTAGTACTGCATTTTCTGGCAGTATTCAGTATAAAACCTGAGCTCCTCCTTAGCCAGCTGCAACATTAAAATGAAGAACACAAATGCATCAATAATTAGTGTTCAACAATATAACATAATATTGTTTGGATCCTTTGATTTCATATTTTGAATGCAGGACTTTTACTTATAGAGAAATATAGTAAGGCAAGGCAAGGCATTATTAAAATGTCCTATATCATATTATTGATATAATAATAATAATGAAGTATTACCGCCACAAAATAGTATCTAAAAAGATTAAATGCATGCAGAAAACAAGAAATGCACTTAAATAGATAATACCAACGTGTCACTTCTGACAGTCATTCTTGTCTGTCTGTTACAGGTCAGCCCTCCAAGCTCTTATACGTGATGCACAACTCTGAAACTCCCCTGAGCTGCATGGGTCTGTTTGAAGGTGGACCCTGCCTGATAGCAGATGCAAACTTTGACGTTCTCATGGTGAAGCTAAAAAGTCACTTCCAAAATGCCAAGGCGCATAAGGTGGAGTGTCGTGGATCTAGATACCGCTACTGTGATTTCTTGATAAAGGTTGGCACGGTAACAATGAGCTCCAGCGCCAGAGGGATATCAGTTGAGGTATGTAGATAAATGAAAAGTAGTAATAGTGGAAGCATAATATTCTCCTGCTGAGAATGCGCTAACTCTTTGAGTGTGTCTTCAGGTGGAGTACTGCCCCTGTGTGGTTCCAGGGGAATGCTGGAATCTCACAAAAGAGTTCATGCAGTCCTTTCTTGGCCCCAGCGTCCCCGAACTGCCGTCTGTGTTTGCTGCCAAGCCTGAAGGACTCTTCGCCCCATCAGACTGCGTTGACACCATGACTCAGTACTTGGAGTTGTTCAACAAACTTCGTAAAATGCAAATGCCAGGAAGTAATGTGCGTTGAGTGGTCAATGGCAATGGAGAGAACTTTTTTGTATATTTGTATTGATGTTGCTTTAATTCTGTCCCCCTGGATCGGCATGTACTTTTGGCATTTTTTTTATAAAGCCTGGGATTTTTTTATTTCCATCTCTGGAGCCTCAATGCATTGAACCTTCTTATTTTATGAATGCATTTTGTATTAAAGAGACTTAAAGGTGACATATAAAACAATACGTATTCCTGTATTCACAATACACATCTGTTACAGATTACACAAACAATGTCTCTGTTCTATTCTAGATTCTCAGTGAATAAGGATAAGGGCTGCATTTAATTGAGCCATATGTTATTATTTACACCTTTTCCTACTGTAAGCTATCTACATATTACCTCCACGACTGGTGTTAAGGCAGGTCAAAGTGCCTGCTGTGAGACAGGCTTAGTATGAATAAAATAATCAGAAAAAGGTGAAACAAACACACAAGAGACTTCCCTGGTTTGTTATAAAGGATTGAATAATGGGTCTGAAAGTTTATAGAAAACAACTTTTCATTTGTTCAATGTCAGAATGGTGTATTCAAACAAGCCAGTAAAAAAATTTGTTTTTTCACATTGTGGAAAATATGATGGTCTGAGAAGTGAGAACTGTTTTTTAAACAGCAGTGCAGTGCTGGATTACTTGTTGGCACCACTTTCACCCTGTGTTAACATGAATCACATTCACAGGATTAGAGTTTCTCTTTATACACCCATGTTTAGGCGAACTTAAGTCTATATGTTTTATTTTGGATTCCCAATAGCTGCTTCCAACGGCTAAAAGGGGTTGACACAAGTTAACATTACATTATAAAAAAGTACAAATCAAAATCAAAAGGCAAAACATCAGACAAGCAAACTACAACAAAATAATAAAAGCAATTATGACGATAGAAAAACAGGCAAGCACATTGACATTTGCTATAATAGGCTACCACTAAAAACAGGTATAGAGTGATGGATAAAATAAAGATGTAATAAACTCCCTTGAACCTGACAGCTGTAACTCACGATTCAGCAATAATACTGTGCCTAAAAGCTACACCTCCCCTAATGCATTATAGGATTACCACGCACCAGCTGACACATGGCGAACACGGGTCTTTCGAGGACATTGGGCTCAGGGGCAGTCTTCATCTCTGCCCGGTGTGCGGTGGGTCCAGCCTCGGTTATTGTTCCATGGCATGTGGCCTCGGTGGGTGGACGGACGGACGGTCCATCCTGCTGCCTGTTGTTCAGCCCTTCCGCCAATGAGAGCCGGGCAGCCGCTGAGCCCCGGTCCAATGAGAGCAGCCGGGTCTGGGCTCTGCTGTTCAATCTGTGAGGAGGACAACAACCAGCTCTCAGTGTACCGGATGGATGTATGTTGGCGATGGTAATGTTACCCAGCTTTTTCCGTTATCAGGTGTTACTAATGTAGTAATGAACACAGACGAGGCCCGGCGATAAATTAGACTCCATTAACCGGCTTTCTGTGATGAAAGTCACCGGGGAGTTTTTAAACGGTTAACGATGCAGTCCGCTAGCGAGCTAAGCTGTTACAGTGTTAATACTTAGTTAACGTTAGCGACAACAGCCGTTAGGTTAACTTCGATTGTCCTTAGCAACGCGCTAACCGTGCAGCTAACGCTAGCTACTATTTCAAGCTAATAACATAACATGTTAGCTACTTGATGCCATACGAATCATCTGTGTTAACCAAAATGCATACTAGGTGAGAGCAAAAGGCTAGACAAGGCTAGGGCTGTGCAGAGCTGCCGTGGTTAGCGGTTAGCGGTGATAGCTAACTTATGGCTGGCTGAGCTGCCTCCGACTAACAAAGTTGTTGGATGTTCCTGGAGAGGCTCCCTGACTGCTCTTTGTTCTGCCTCAACATGGGGATGGTAGTGTAGCTTAGCATGGTGGGAAGAGACTGCCAGCCTGCTCCAGAAGACAGGCTTTAAATCCCGGACAGATTTACAGATTGCATATTGTAACATTTGTGAATATCACCGTCACATGCGTTAATGTACTCTTCTAATACAACTGTGTCAATAGCAACACATAGCCGGATTTGGGTATGCCACCAACAAGAAACCAGTTGCTCAGGCTTGCAAGTTAATGGTGTCTTTTCGTTAAAAATGTTTTAAAAGTAGCGGATTATTTACACAAAGAGAAAAGCGAGAAGAATGGTGTAGCACAGCGCTGGTACCGGGGAGTTAGACAATTACATGGATTAACCACGTATTTAAATGAACAGACAGCCAGCCCCCTCAAGTCCACATTTCTGTCAATACGTTTGGCAGTCTTAAGAATTATCTATTGAAGTTTTAAACATGTGTTTTAGCATACTGTCAATGACCATCAGACTTGATCATTACCAGCATAGAAAAACTCATATGCTGCATTTTTACCATTACAACTATTCTCAGAGTTATTTGAACTCCAAAGCTTTAAAATGATCTGTACTGTCAATCTTGTCAGGTCAAGTGTATTTGAATAGCATGAAATATCTCAATGGTCGTTAGTTACATGCCTACATTAACAATGTTGAACCATGCAGCACAACGTCTCTGTATAGTCACGAAAAACTGAAAAATTGTCTAGTTAAAGGAAGAAATATATTGTAAGAAACCATCTGTTCCAAGTGTTTTTTACATATTATTTAGAGAACATAAATGACACAATTTACCAGCCAAATGCTGGTAACATTGGCATTTGGCTTGTACATTTGCATCCCTCACCAGCCACAAAAATGGTTATCTATTGAGTGGCTGGTAAAATTGGACTATTCACTAGCCATTTGGCCGCTAGAATAAAAAGTGTTGCACTCAGCATAGTGTTTATGTTGTTTGCATATTACAGCAGAATCAAAGTAAACTGTAACTCCCTCTCTTTTGTTTTGAATTAATTAAGTAAAGTATTGAATGTTTGTGAATACTTGATTTTCAAAACTGACATTTTGGAGACATTCGCATTAGAAGACCAACAATTTGAAAGGCATTGTAAACTTAAACCGTTGTTTTTATTATTGCAAATGATGTAGTATTTTCCCGGATTAGTGGATACCCTTTTTAAAGTGTGTGTTATTGAATACCTTTTTAGTTGAGTTTAGCAGGTGTCTAGGTTTTTTATTTTCATAACAGTGGTTTGAGAAAATGCCTTATTTCTAATTATTTGTTTATTGATAGGCTTAGTTTTGTTGCATTATATAATTGTTTAATTAAACATCTGTTAGCAAAAGAGAAACGTTTTGATGTCATTTATCACTCCTGATGCGACTATGCACTACTAATGTCCTTTCTCCCTTTGTCTCAGAATGATACTGTCGGTGCAGGTGGTGACGGTGGACATGGGTGGTCAAGCTGAAAGTTGCTTTTGAGTTTCCTGCAAATATTTTGATGTATTGATCCACACCTGATCAGGCAAACTATTTTACAGTAAGTATAAGCCTCTTCATTTTGTTTTTGTGCATTAAAGTGCATGTATGCTCATTCATTTCATATTTCATCAATTGTATTCAAGGACAAAAAACAAACCATTTTATTTAAATAATAAACATCTAGCTATTTGTAATGAGATGTCAAATATGGTTTGCAGAGAAGTCTGGAAATTAGAGTTTGAAAAAACAGGGGAAAGAAGGAACCTTGAATTAAGACACCATAATAAGTGGTGCGTGAGTCCTTTCAGTATGTTTAAAACGTAATCTAACTTTGTTTTCTCTTACCTTAGGATGAGGTGCTGCATTGTTACAGGACGTGTGTCCTTTCACTGAGGCCACATGTGTATCAGGAGAGATGGATCGTTGTAAGCACGTGGGGCGCCTTCGCCTGGGCCACGACCATTCTGTCCTCAACCCACAGAAATGGCAGTGTGTGGACTGCAGCACCACCGATTCAGTGTGGGCCTGCCTCAAGTGCTCCCACGTGGCCTGTGGACGCTTCATGGAGGAGCACTCGCTCAAACACTTTCAGGAGTCACACCACCCACTGGTTATGGAGGTGCGTGAGCTAGATGTGTTCTGTTTTGCCTGTGGAGACTATGTACTCAATGACAACGCAGAGGGAGACCTCAAACTCCTCAGAGGGGCGCTCTCCACAGTGCGCAGCCCAGGGAGACGCTCACTACGCTCAGCGACCGTGGGGGTTTGCACCCCCTGGGTTGGAGACACTGGGCCAAAGCCCGCCATGCAGCTGGCCTCTCGTCACAGGAGGAAAGCACTTCTAGGGAAGATGCTTCGGACATGGATCGGTAAACACCAGGAGCTGCAGAATGAGCGGGAAGAGAAACTTGAGGAAGCTAGAAGACAAAAAAAAGAGGTTAAAAGGAGACTCATGGAAGAGCTTGGCGGTGTCCCTCCTAGAAAGAGTGCTAGGCTTCTTACTCAGGCACCACGTTCAGCCAACACACTCATTCCTCGCAAATTTCGCGAACCTCCAGAACGCCTACCTCCTGCTTCCAAGAAGCCTTCCCTTCTTACCCTGTCCCGTAAGACTCCTCAGAATGGCAAAGCTGCTAAACTGAGGAGGTACTACTCCTCTCACACAGTCACCCGCCGGAGACCTGCTCCAGGTGTCACTGGTCTGCGCAATCTGGGGAACACATGCTACATGAACTCAATATTGCAAGTGCTGAGCCACCTGCAGAAATTCAGGGAGTGTTTTCTCACTTTGGACCTGTGTGAGACTGAGGAGCTGCTGGCCAAGACCAACCAGGCCCAGGGCATGACTGCCGTGACGGGTGTAGTCAGCAGTGGGACCGCATCGCTGCCTGGGAGCCCTCTGGGACGCGTAGGTAAAGCCGGCAGTTGGAATTTACCCGTGGGCAAAAAAGAAAGTGCTCCTCCTACCCCGCAGGCTTCAGAGTTGGTTCAGCCTAAGGAGCCTCGCTGCTCCACCCGCCAGCAGATGTCTCTGTGCCATGAGTTACACACACTTTTCAGGGTCATGTGGTCAGGCCGGTGGTCCTTAGTGTCTCCATTCGCCATGCTGCACTCGGTGTGGAACCTCATCCCAGCTTTCCGGGGCTACGACCAGCAGGACGCCCAGGAGTTCCTGTGCGAGCTGCTGGACAAGGTGCAGCAGGAGCTGGACACAGAGGGCTCCAAACGCAGGATAGTGATCCCCATCACAAAGAGGAAACTATCCAAGCAAGTGCTAAAGGTTCTTAACACCATCTTCCATGGGCAGCTACTCAGCCAGGTAAGACATCACATATGTAACCGCATACTTCATAGTATGATTATTTTTGTCCTAAACCTGCCTTTAAACCCATAAGGATGAAAGAGTGAAACAATGTCATTTGATAGGGATTAATTTATTTCACTCAAAAAAGACTTTCAGATAGCTCCATCCCTAAGCAGTTGTATTACCAAATAATGTGTTCCACTAAGATATATGAGCTACTTATGCTGGTTATTTTTCTTTCTTTTTTTCATGATCTTTTTAAAATGCTTATTGTATTTTCTCAGAGATCCCCTTATTTAAGACTTGATGTAATTTCCAAACATGACGACTATTTTCCACTGGAGTCCTCACTTGTTTCTCTTCTCACTGTGTATTTTAGGTGACGTGTCTGTCCTGTAAGCACAAGTCTAACACAGTGGAGCCATTTTGGGATTTGTCTTTGGAGTTTCCAGAGCGATACCACAGCATAGACAAAAGCTCAGGCTCTACAGCTTACCAGCGCAGCTGCACCCTCATTGAGATGTTGTCCAAGTTTACCGAGATGGAGGCTCTCGAAGGCAGCATCTATGCCTGCAACCACTGCAACAGTAAGTACAATTATGCAAATAAGTACTATAATAAGGACATAAGTGTCGGAGTGAGAATGACATGAATATACCTTTTTAAAAACTGATTAGAAAATGAATGTACTAAATAGTCTTTTCACAAACTCTGATATATTTTAAGGAAGTATGTCACCTTAATCTTAAACAGAGCATTGTAACTTAAAGACAAGAATGACCTGTTTTTTATTTTATTTATTCAATTATATTTTTGATTTTGATCTTCATCAACCATGGTCAGAAGAGTTTTGATATACAAGAACTATAAGGATGCCTTGTTTGATTGTTCTTGTAACCTTTCAAACTAAAACAAAACCTTATTATAAGGATATGCATTTGAATGGATTAGTGAATTAATTTACCATCTCATTGTTTCATGGTTTGTCAGAAAGAAGACGGAAAACATCCCACAAACCCTTAGTTCTGTCAGAGGCTCGTAAGCAGCTTCTGATCTACCGTTTACCTCAGGTTCTACGGCTGCACCTCAAACGCTTCAGGTAAGTGTCTACACAGGCTGGTTTTCTTATAATAATTACTGCAAATTAAATGACCCAGTCTTGTTTTATTTTGTAGCTGTAATCAGAGTGCTTAATGTTCTCTATGGTGCTTGTGATGCTTACTCCTCCCTGTTGTATGGCAGATGGTCGGGGAGAAACCATAGGGAGAAAATCGGCGTCCATGTGGCCTTCGACCAGGTTCTGAACATCAAACCGTACTGCTGCACAGGCTCAGGTCACCCCGTCCACAGAGGAGGCTACACCTACGATCTGTCTGCTGTTGTTATGCACCATGGGAAAGGCTTTGGCTCAGGGCACTACACCGCATACTGCTACAACACAGAAGGAGGTGAGGAAGAGAACGCACGCAACCTATATACATTCAAAGTCTTAATTTCTTCTGTTAAACATTTCTTGTCTTTGTATTTTCAGGTTTCTGGGTCCACTGTAATGACTCTGAGATGAAGGTGTGCAGTGTGGAGGAGGTGTGCAACACTCAGGCCTATATTCTCTTCTATACCCAGAGGTCTGCCTAGGTACCTCCCGCTGTGATGTCGACCTGTATCGGGCAACTTAAGGCTGCATTTATGAACATGTTCTCTGAAGTTTCCCAGATGACATTTAACAATCACTTTGAAGTAAATTACTGAAAGAAAAAGATAGTAACGGGGGCACTAGGACAGCCACAATTATGTTTAGGAGTAAAGGTGAACATTGAAGCATCCAGATGAGAAAGACACTGTAATAAAGACAAGCTAGGAAAATCCTTGAAATTAGTAACATATAAATTAAATGTTATAATGGCTGGTTTTTGATTATGTTCCAAATCCAAAACCTTTTTAAAAACTAGGCCTGAGCTTTCTCGGCCTGCGGGACCAGCATAGCAGTTTACTATCCCGTAAACTGTGAGCGGTCCGACTCTGTCCTGCTGAACGCCATGTTGTGTGTCTGTGTTTTAAAAACCATCAGGCTCGTGTCTGTTGAGTCTGCGGCCCTCCTGAAACAGCATTATACATTCAAAGGAAACGCATGATCTGGATTTTAGAGCATTTCTTTCACAATAATGTTGTCAATGTGCCTTTTATATGTAACCGTACATTTAATAGCCAATGCACTAAATCAGGGATGGCCAAATGCGGACCATATTGAATCGGCCCTCAGCAAATTCAAAAAGTATAATGGAATATGGCCCACAAACTTTTGCTGGTCTTATATTGTACTTCTTAAATATATATGTACAAATATATTACACAGTAGTATTTGTGTGTTAATAAGCCCATTTTTCAAATAAATTCAGTCGATTAAAGTTGGAAACATTTTCTAACAAATCTAAGTTGATAAGAAAAAAGCCCAGTAACTTATTTACATAACCAGTTTGAAATAGACCCTTAATATTTCCTCTTATTATAAGCAATCTGAGGCTTCTGTTTTAAGGGATGAGCTGCCAACACTTTTTGTAACAAAATAAATGAATTTACCTTCATTTGATTGATTTCGCTAACTTGTAACTGAATTTATGAGGCAATATACCTCACCTCTAGCGAGTGGCCCAGCCCTTCGTATATTTTTCTGTATGTGGCCCTCGGTGAAAAACGTTTGGACACCCCTGCTCTAAATACTATAAGAGGTACATCGTTCAACATCATTGTGAAGGTCCAATTAAATGAAATTAATCTAAAGTCCAGCCTCTGTGTCGCCTAGGGCTGCTCGATTATGGCAAAAATCATAATCTCGATTATTTGGGTCAATAATTGATATCACGATTATTAAAAACGATTATCCATTTCCTTTGAAAACATCCATTTATTGAAAAAAAAAAAGTGAACAGTATGTTTTTAACAGTTGATTACCCTGAACTTTAAGTGTAATTCAACTGAAAGACCAATAATTAAAAAATTATCGTTTTATTTCGATTATGTTGTTTTCATAATCGTTGCAAGCCAAAATCGTAATTGCGATTAAAATACGATTAATTGAGCAGCCCTAGTGTCGCTTCCAGCTTTTTTTTTAAATAATCGTGAAATGTCAGTTCGGGAATCATTTAATACTCCTCCCTGTGTCGTTTGTACTTCATCACGTCCTCTCCTCAACTGTTCCGCTGTGACTGGATACTGTGTTTTAGGCTGAAGGCCTGCGCTCTCAGTGAACAGGAAGAGTTTTAGTTTATTTTGTAGTCATTCTATGTTTTCATGAAAACACTTCATTGATGATAAGTGACAGAAAGCTGCACTTTTGAGGAGGGGCTGCTGTCGTTGGTCCAATCTTTGTGATTGTTCATCTTTTAGCTCCTGTATCTTGTTTAAAATGGCAGCTCCCCTTGTGGTGTAACATTAGATAGTCTGAGCCCAGGTTGGAGACTTTGCGCCTGTGTTTGAACGGCAGGAGATGATTGGAGGAGTGAAGGGGCGGACTGCAGTAGAGAATGTGTCTGGGTACCCATTTTGAGTTGAGCACCTGAAAGCAATATATTGTACTTCTTGCATCTTGACAGGAAATAAGATAAAATCAGGAATTATTCTGCTTGTTATACAATGTTTTTTTCTACTCTGCTGTTTCTATCAAGGTCTTTAGAATTTGCTAGGTAATCAAGAAAAACTGTCGTGTTTGATACGAGTCAAACGCGGAATACATTTGTGAACTCTATGTTAAAGTTGGAACAATCTAATGACGATGAATGTCTTACTTTTCAGTGGTCAGGCGCGGCCGTGCCAGCGGCTCTGATCCCCCTGAGTTCTGTCGTGTACTGTAAGAATACCTGTCATAAATGTAATGGTCATATGGGTTTCGCCTGATGGTAATTATTAAAAAGACAAAACAAATGTGAAACTTTTCTTGGGTTTTATTTAATTGAAGGGAATAGTTACTTCATTTCATCCTTAGTTTAAGTTAAAGATGAAGCAGGGTATTCAGGTCAGCTATATGTAAACCTGCAACCATTAGTTCAACTTATTAATTAGTCGTTTGACAGAAAGATGCTTTCCAACTCTTCTGATAATCCATAAATCATTTAATGTTTTCAGCCTCTCCAATATAGACTTCCTTTTCTGTATGCTTTTCTGTGTTGTATCATATCTCACTAAATATCTTTGTTTGGCCTGACAAAACAAAGACAATCATCCCCTTGGACTGTAAGAAACTGGGATGGACAGAGCGAAAACAATCTGCGTATGAATTTATTATGAAAATAGTTGTGAGTCACAGCCCCAGTGAAAAGCATTCATTAAGAATACATTCATGTTCTGTGTGCCTACCTAAAATCAGGAAAGTAACACTGAATACATCTACAGAATTAGCAAATGGATACCCAGCTGATCTAAGACTAATTTAATTCTGCTTCTCTGATGCTTTCTTAAAGATTTGAAACCTGCTCTGTAGCTCCTCTCTCTTTCAGCCCCCTCCTGATAATACTCCTCTCCGATGGGCCTTCTAGAAAATAATGGTGCGCCTCTGCAAAGGTAGATCTCAAGCTGTTGGTGGATAGTCTCAGGAGTGAGGTGGTATATTCTAATGAGCTTGCATGTGACATAGGAAGGGAAACTAAATCTGAATGGCTTCATGGTTATCTGACACAAAAGACTATAGGTTGTCTTTTTTGCAGTTAAATGGGTGGTTTATATACAACTATATGGACAAAAATATTGGACGACTCCTTCATTATTGTATTCAGGTGTTTAATTCAGTCCCATTGCCACAGGTGTATACAATCAAGCACCTAGCCAAGCAGTCTGCCTTTACAAACATTTTTGAAAGAATGGGTCGTTCTAAATAGCTCACTGAATTTGAACGTGGTACTGTAATAGGATGCTACCATTGCCACCAAGTCAGTTCGTGAAATGTATTCTCTCCTAGATATTCCACGATCAACTGTAAGTGGTGCTATTGCAAAGTGGAAACGTTTAGGAGTTCAAAACCAGCTCTGGCAATAATATCAGCACCAAAACTGTGCCGGGAGCTTCATGGCCGAGCAGCTGCATGCACGCCTTACATCACCAAGCACAATGCCAAGCGTCGGATGGAGTGGTGTAGAGCACACCGCCACTGGATGCTGGAGTAGTGGAAACGTGTTCTGTGGAGTGACCAATCACTATCTGTCTGATGGACGAGTCTGGGTTTGGCGAATGCCAAGAGAACGTTACCTGCCTGACGGCATTGTGCCAACTTTAAAGTTTGGTGGAGGAGGGATAATGCTATGGGGTTGTTTTTCTGGGGTTGGCCTAGGCCCCTTAGTTCCAGTGAAGGGGATTCTTAATGCTTCATCTTACCAAATCATTTTGGACAATTCTATGCTTCCAACTTTGTGCAAACAGTTTGGCGAAGGCCCTTTTCTGTTCCAGCATGACTGTGCCCCATAAAGCAAGGTCCATAAAGGCATGGTTGGATGAGTTTGGTGTGGAAGAACTTGACTGGCCCGCACAGAGCCCTGACCTCAACCCCATCGAACACCTTTGGGATGATCTGGAACGGAGATTACGAGCCAGGCCCTCTCGTCCAACATCAGTGTCTGACCTCACAAATGCTCTTCTGGATGAATGGGCAAACATTACCACAGACACACTCTAAAATCTTCTAGAAAGCTTCCCCAGAAGAGTGGAAGCTGTTATAGCTGCAAAGGGGGGACCAACTTCATATTAATGCCTATGAATTTGGAATAGGATGTCATAAAAGCTCCTGTAGGTGGTCCAATACTTTTGTCTATATATTATGTTGGTTTGTAGGCACTCGAGACACTCAAATGTATGTGCACAAGCAATGTTAAAATCCTTCTGACTGGTGGTTATCTTTTGTTTTAGGTAATGGTGTAGTTATAGATATTGGTAATCAATTAATTAATGCATAATAAGTTGTTCATGAAATGGAATTTGCTTCAGTCCCTTCTCAAAATGTATGGTAAGATTTGTATTGGTCCGTTTGTTTGATCAGAACAACTGGCAATTCAAAGGTTGTTCTTACTAATGGCCTTAAAACGGATTCTAAAGTGATTTCCCAGTCTAGGAACATTTCAGTCAAAAAGTTGATAATGATATATTCAACGTCAGCCTAATATATGAAATCATTTATTTCTTACATTGTTTAATAAAACAGCAAATATTTTTGCAAACTGGATATAAACTTGATACAATTTAACATGCCAGTTATTTTTGACACTGTGAATATTAGCAGTTCTACAATAGTGGTCATGAAATAGCATTTATGGACAGAACAGGTATTACATGTTTGAAGTATTAAGGTGAAGATGTCACGGATATCAGCTCAATTTTCTTTAAGACAGTTCATTCTATTTGAAAAAGACAAAGAGAGAGAGAAACGTGTCTGAAAGCACTGCTTCAACACCAGAACAGGATGTGAAACAAACAGGAGTGACAACATGTCTGCACTGTATTTCTGACAACAAAACGGCAGTTCTAGAGGATTAGTTTAGTCATTGATGAAATGTTAACTCATGCCAGTTAGATGCATCTTTGTGCACATATGAGGACATGCGTGAGCATATAACATTCATGAAAAAAACATTTTCCTCTCAAATATACTATAGCTTCAACATGAAGGTAACGGCGAACATGATCAGCGTGTTAAAGTCAATATTAAATTGCTCTAGTCTTTGTAGTCCATCATAAATATTTATAAAAGGACGATCCAAAGATTTCTTGCGAGAAACTCAGTTTTTGGTGACAGCAATGCAACATATGATTGGTCATCAACACCAGGAGATTAGGGCGAGATGAGATGATGTCTTTTGATGCTTGACAAGCAGATAATTCCTGTTCTTTTTTCCCAGTAAACACAACACTCTCTGCAGGCCGAATGGTGTTCATTCCTCATCTGAAAGTGCCGTGTTTTGTCCTCACATGCTCCACCTTCACACTCAAAGGGAACAAGCACAGAGGCCCTGTTTCTATTTCAGTCCCTGATTCCTTCAGTGATGGTGACTGAGAGTGACTCTCTCAGGGAGCTCAGCTGGGCAGCAGCCACGGCTCCAGGAAGTCCCAATGCTTCCACAGGACGAACAGCAGCAAGGTCAGGAGGACGGTGGCGCCCACCCGGGCCCGGGTCTTCATCAGTGGGGTGATGAAGTTGGCCAAGGTGGAGACAAACACCAGCAGCACGGCCATGAGCGCCAGGATGACGTTGATGAGTTTGCCCAGCAGAGCTCGAGCGTTGGCATTCTCCACTCCCTCCAGCTGGACCACCTGCTGCTGCTGTTGCTGCAGCTCCAGCTTGGTGATGCGGGTCAGGCACGACTCCACGGCCTCCTGTAGGTACACACAAAGTTACACAGTAGGATTTATTTTGTGGTTAAGGTAATGAAAACTTATTTTTCCAGCAGCTTTTTACTTTGAGTGACAAGATCCTTAATAAATGCAAAATGTTCTGGTTGGTCTAGATATAACTCTTGATTTAGAAAACTTGGTGAGAACTCTAAAGAGACTCGGTGCGCAGCATCCTTTATCTTAACCCAAACTATTCAAGGTCAACAGAGTGCTGCGTGGATAGTTTTTTAGGCCAACCTGGAAGTTGGCATCTCCCTGGATCACTTGACAAAGGGCCAATGGGATATTTTACAATGGATTTTTGATCATTGCAGCATAAAAGTTCATGATGCTTAAAGTTTTGTTAGGCAGGGGTTCAGATGGATACAACAATCTTGCTGTTTTTTACCTGAATATCTCTTGCTCTCTCATAAGACTGGTAGGCAACTTTTTCCTCCATGCTGGCGAGCTCTTGTTTAAGGTTAGTCATCTCATTCTGGTGCAGCTCTGTTAAGTCATTCAGCTGTTCTTCAAGTCGCTCATACCTAAATATGCAGAAAAAACATGTTCAGAATAATGCAAATAACATACATAAACTAACTGTTGAACTAGATTATCACGATAAACAGTGTAGTTCATTTAAAGGGGACCTATCATGCAAAATGCACTTTTGTACGTCTTTTATACATGAATATGTGTCCCCGGTGTTCCAGGGAACTCACCAAGTGTCAGAAAACACAACCCTCTCTATTTTCCTCCATACCCAAATCTCTAAAAAAGGGGCTGCAACGGATCTGATAAAAACTGATCCAGATTTGAACACTGTCCTGACGTCAGGACGGTGGCGCTACGGCTATTGGGCCAACTCTCCACCTATCAGGGGAATGTGGGGTTGGGCCACGGCCGGCCATTGCCGCTCGAAAGCGCTAGAGACGCTGTAGTACATATGCCAGGCCTGTAAGTGGCGCTGTAGTCTGCCACAAAAGCAGCGAAGAAGACTTCCCGCGCATGGTTGCCAGGGTTACCCTTCTGTTCATTCTCCGCTGTGGCTTTTTTTCTCCCTCCCCGAGGCAAGCGTTTGCTCCTGCTGCTTTAATTCAATGCAATCCCTCCCCGTCGAGGCAAGCACTGTAATTCTCTCCGGTTAGTCCACCAGCAGATGACAAACACCCACCTCTCCGCCTCTTCCAAGGAACGAGGGGACCGTGCGGCAGAGTTTCAGTTTCAGTTTCTTTCGCCGGTCAAGATGTCCGTTAAAATTTAAATCTTCCGGACAAAATTAGAAAAGTGCCGGTCAAAGGTCTTCTTTGTTATTTATTGAGCTTTAAAACAAATGAATAACGACTCTATATAATAATATAATAAAACACGGAGGACGGAGATCTATTTTTCTCCCCCTCTTCTGACTTGATCAGAGCACGCTCCCCTCTCCTGCAGGGGGGCGTGGTCAGCTGCAGCTCACAGAATCAGCCCCCTGCAAAAACAGGGCTGGAAAACAGCAAATATAGCGAAATGAGGCATGGCTAAAATGCATGATCTGTTTGGTATTTTGAAAACAGAAACGTATAAATATACCTT